CAGTTAAACATACACATAAATACCCTAAATCTAAATAAACATCTAACCACAATGGTCAGTGCAGTTACTTTTTTATTGGTACGGCACCAGAGGATTACAATTAATGAATCGAGTGAGGAATTAGGACTAGAAAAATATACTTAGTTTGTAAATTTGCATGTTTTGCATGAGATTACAAAATGTTACTTCAAACTGTAGTTGTTATTGATGCTAAAATGTGACAGCGGCAGCACCATATGACCTAGTTTTTATTACATGTTAAGTCAATTATTAAACATGATATCGCCGATAAAACATTAACTTCTGTTAAGGCGTTTTGTAGTAAGGGTGTTGTCAGCCAACTTGGCACAAAAAGGTGCACCAAGATGGCGAGATTTTACCTGGGTGAATGCCTCAACGTTCAAAATTGTTGCCTGAGATATCTTAACCTGAAATAAGAAGATTTTTCAAATTCAGATCTGAGATCTGAATGGCGCTGATATAACCCAGAAAACCTAACACTTCAAACTAGGAATTAAAAAAGGGGATGATTCCATCGGTACATTTAACCAAGTACCTTGAGATGCTAAGCGGTTTTACCGTAAAATCCGAGGGGACTAGACAAGCACTCTCAGTTCGTCCAGGCCTGGACAGTGAATGTCACTTAGAGGTCAAGATTGAGCAAACGGTCTCTTAACAGACTCAACCAACAACACCTGGCGCCGACTCCTTGATGGTACAGAGCCATTAGATCCGCTCAGTGGAGTGGGGCCTAATGTTAGACTTTAAAATATCGATAATCCTGTCCTCAAACACTTTTGGAAAAAGGCGTTATAAGTATGGAAACTACTACTACTAGCAGAGTTGCTTGCAGCCATCGTGGAGACGAAAAAATCGGCTTAATAAGATACCCTACGATAAACTACCAAATCATTTAAGGGTATTACCTACCTTGATTATGATCATGACTTAACAGGAAGGTACCTTCAGCAACCGAGTCTTCCTTGAAGACTGTGTGAGGCGGTACCACCTAAATGAAATGTTGATGACGCTGTACAGAAGGTATGACTTGAACAAAACACAGCGTCACCAAGATTGAAACCGAGATCTTTGGCGACCGATTAGCCTGCGTTATTAAATGATCAATTAAAACAAGCGCTGCTGTTGCGGCACGACTCATGCTACCGTCAATACTGGTAAGTTAAATTAGCAAAATTTCTGATGGGATCAAATGCGAATGGCCTACCGGATATTTAGTCACAAGACTGGAGAGATAGACCCGTGGCATACACATTTTTGCTCACTCAATTCACTCGTCTCACCGATCCTTTTGGCCCCCCGTTTTGTGCTTTTGAAGCAGCGAAGTAATCCTACCACTGGAAGTGCGCAGTTAGCAGCCTCTCGCTTATCACTTGTGTCTATCTCTTCGCTTAACCCCTTGAAAGACCTTGGGCTCCCCTACCCACCCGCCCTCCCCTGTCTACCGATGTTTGTTCCACTCATCTGTACGCACAATCGACATGGAATTAACTTTTTAATTTTATCATCATTTACTGTGATCCCTAGATAGATAGCCTGTACGTAGGTACGTACGCAAGGTCTTTTTGCCGTAGTCACAACAACACAACCCCCATCCTCGCACGTAGCAACTATATGGTGGGGTAAGTTGTGTCTCACCTTATTTACATTGCTGCTTGCCATCGATCGATGGTTCAGCCCCCTGATTGGTGCGTCCTGGGCGAAAACCGGGTTAGTGCGTCGATATTTCGGGTGAGTTTTTTCTTGGTTAATTAGGCACATTTTTCAGAGTGCATTTTTAACAAACCTTAGTGACAGCGTACCGATTTCTTTTTCTGCTCCCACTGACTGCCCCATTTAATATCTCTACAAATAATTAGATCATTTTACATTTAATTACGGCAATAATTTTTAATTATTTGAATGTAGCACCCCGAGACTTCCCTAAAGACGAAAGAGGACCTAATATTCGGGCAAGGTAGGGCTTGGGGCGCTGCTAGCATGGCCCAGAGGCCAGCCCATCCGGAGAAGATACAAAGGCAGAGCACCTAAGTGCACCCCTTCTTAAAACCAAGAGTCAAACATGCAATCAGAGTAGTGCATGAATATCAGCTTTATTATCGGCTTGATATTACCAATGATAGGGCTGTTAATGCTGGAATGAGTTCGTAGTGCACATTTTTGAATAGATGGTTATCTGATGAAAGTGTACGGGATCTCAAGGTTATTTTTATTATCCCTTTACGCCCGTGAAGTGGAACCTTGATCTTTTACCTATTTTATGATCATATTGTTCCACAAATGCTCGTTTTTTTCTAGGCAGAGTATTTATTGTTATACACCCCATAAATTAGTAAGCTTGATGATAAGGGTACAACCTGGTAATAAAACACACTTGATATAATGATTTAAGCAATATTTTACGTTG